GGACCTTCCCTTTTTTATCCCATGACAACTTAATTTACTTAAGAGCCTTTGGTGAGGGACCTTGTCAAAGGCTTTCTGGAAATCTAAGTACACTATGTGTGCTGGATCCCCCACATGTTTGTTGAGCCCTTCAAAGAACTCTAATAGATTAGTAAGACACGATTTCCCTTTACAGAAACCATGTTGACTATTGCTCAACAGTTTATGTTTTTCTATGTATCTGACAATTTTATTCTTAACGATTGTTTTGACTAATTTGCCCAGTACCGACGTTAGACTTACCTGTCTGAGTCACCCTGAATATGGATATTGGGCTATAACCTATGGACTATTTCTAAAAGGACTTTTGGCAACTACAAGCTCACCTCTGCTACGTATCTGAACCTCAAGAATTGAATTCAAGTCTGTATGTATATTGATCTTTTAAACAACACTTTCTCTCTTTTCTTTTTTAATAAATTTTAGTTTAGTTAATAAGAATTGACTATTAGCGTATATTTTGGGGAAGATCTAAGTTATAATTGGACCTGGGTATGTGGCTGATCCTTTGGGATTGGAAGAACCTTTTCTTTTATATGATGAGATAAGATTTTCAGTAATCATCATCATATCTAACAGGTGTGTCTGGACGGAGGCCTGAGGCTGGGCACTTTAAGGGAACTGCGTTGTTTGGACTTCTGAGTAACCTATATGGTAATATAGAAGTTGTTTTGTGCTGGCTTGGTAAATCTAAGTATTGGAATATCCACCAGCTTTTGGGGTGTTGTCTGCCCCGTTTTGTTTGCAGTTCACCCTAATTGAGTAACCTCAGCTGGCTCCGACGGGCAGCACCGTCACAGTGTGGAATAATAAAGTTACAGTGTATTATGTGCCAAGTATAAAAGGGGTAGCCATATTAGTCTGTATCCACAAGACTGTGGCTGTAGGAGGACTCCTTGTTGTTTTTAGGGTATTACATGTCTGCTCAAATTATATTCCCAATCTTAATGATCATATTGGGGCTAATGGACATGTTGATTTTATTTCAGCTAATGAGTGATCCCATGCTCAGGGAGAAGAAGTTCCTTAAGTCTGTCTTACACATCTTGGAAGAAAGGTCACATGATAGGAACAGCATTGTCTGTCAGGCCTGTAAGAGGCCTGGGAAATTTAGTATATGGGGCGCCTGAGAAGGTAAGAGAGAATACTGAATAGAATGCAACATAACTAGAGAAACCAAGGGAAATAGTTGTTCAGAGTTTACAGAGGCTGCATACAATGCACTAGGCCAAATTCTGCTCTCTCACATACCCTAGTAACCTCTTCGCAGTCAATACAGAGCAAGCTGGATCCTTTGGTAAGCTGGGATAAGTAAACAACGTGCACTTTAATATGACCGTATGTAAATGTATACATCTGGAACAAAAAATGCAGGCCATACTTACAGGATGGGAGACTCTATCCCAGGAAGCAATGATAATGAAAAAAAACTTGAGTCATGGCAGATAATCAGTTGAACATAAACTTCCAGTGCGAAGTTGTGGCCAAAAGGGCTGAAATGATTCTTGGAGGCATAAACAGAGGAGTCTTGAATAAGAGTAAAGAAGTTATTTTCCCTCTGAATATGGCACTCATGTGAGCACTGCTGGAATATTGTGTTCAGATCAGGTGTGCACAATTCAAGAAGGTTGCTGATAAATTAGAGAGGATTCAGAGAAGAGTCACAAGAATTATCAAAGGATTGGAAAATATACCTTTAGTGATAGACTCAAGGAGCTCAATCTGTTTAGCTTTACAAAGCAAAGGTTAAGGAGTGACATGAGGACAGTCTATAACTACTCACATGGGGAACAAATTTTGATAATGGGCTCTTCACATTAGCAAGCAAAGGTATAACAAGATTCAATGGGGAAAAATGAAGCTAGACTAATTCAGACTGGTAATAAGGCATACATTTTTAATGGTAATTTTAATTAACCATTGGAACAATTTACCAAGGGCTGTGGTGGATTCTCTGTCACTAGCAATTTTAAAATCAAGATTGGATGTTTTTCAAAAAGATAGTCTCTGTTTGAACTAGAGTGTATTTCGGGGAAGTTCTATGTTATGCAGGAGGTCAGACCAGATAATCACAATGGTCCCTTTTGGCCTTGGAATCTAAGTAACTAGGAATCTAATAATAGGATTACACAGGTGTATTATGGCCCCAAGTTTGGCTCATTGTAGCTAGCACCTGGTCTGAAATATAGCTATAGGTCTCGGAGGGTTAGGAGGGTAGATGAAATTCCCACAGTTTGAAAACGGCTAAAGAAAACTTAGAAGTGTGATCAGTGATAAGTGTTCTTTAATATCATATTTGTACAGGTGAAAAAGCACAAGAAGTTTCTTCTGGACATACTGATCAGGGCCTTAAATGACACTTTCAGTTCTGAAGTCATTGACGAGAGCATGAAAGCACTGGCCAAAGTCCAGAAGGAGCTGAAGGAGAAGGACGTAGGTTCTTCCTTCAGAGACCTCACCCAACAGATCCCGACCTACTTTGACAATATATGTGAACAGAACTCTCCAACCCCAGTTCAACTGATCTTGATTAGACTCCATTGACAGTGCATGATGTGGACTCCCAGGGCATTGCTCGTGTAAGAGTGAAGAGATTTGAGGCCCCAGGGAAGAGAGGTTTTTTATGGAGGAGGAGAACATTAAGAGGATGGGGATGACATCCTTGCTCCCAGTCTCACCCTTTTGTTCTTCTATATTTCCACTGAGAACCTCAAAGAAAGTCTGAATACTAGATTAGGTAGCTAGATAACTATGAAAAGGAGGTTGCAGAGTACAATAGAGAGTTTTGGACCTGCTCTATACCATTTTTATGTGAGAGGGTTGGAATGATAATTCCATTTTGCAGAGAATTTTGAGATTTCAAATTTTGGTTTTGTTCATATTTGTGGGAACCCCTCTCCCCAAACTTCAAAACTCTTTGTGAAACAGAATTACTTATTCTCAATCTAGCTCTATTGGAAGCCTGGGCCCAGGGCAGTCTGCTCTCAGACTATCCTGGTGCTGGGAACCCGGGAAACTCTGGGAGCTAGAGGTGCCAGGGAGTTGCAAATTTGAGAGCCAGGACTCCTAGGGTCCCAGAAGCTGGGGGCCTGGAAGCCCACAATCCCAGTCAGCCTGCTAGATCGGCTGCCAAGGAGCTGGATGGGTGCACTGGCAAGACACCGGGCAGGTTTCTAAGGACCCCTGCCTGGCTTCTGGAGGAATTTCATCAAAATTGAACTGTCTCTAAAATATTTTGATGAATCAGCAAATTTGAACAAAAAATTGGTTAATTTAAAGTTTTTCCGACTAGCTGTAGTTGGAATCACTCTACTTTAGCATAGAAGAGATGGCTGTGCGAGGTGCGTGATGTGATTGTCTTTAGTTATCAACTTGCGGGGCTTTCTTGGCTGTAGGAGGATAATGCTCTTCGTTCATTGGCCTTTGTCCTATTTGGCCACCTGGCCCACTTGACAAAGAGAAAATGGAAGGCCTATTTCGCCGACCAGGTTAGACAGAGCTGGGTCACACTTCTGCTGCACCTGCAAGACCCAAAGCCCAAGGTTTCAATGGTAAGACTGACAGTGACTTGTTTACTAAGCAAAAGGAATCTTCCTCCCAATGCCAGGGGAGCTCTGCTATTCCTGCCTGCCGTGAAGGCCCTAATTCTCCCCTCAGTTCATTGCCCTCCTGCTGAATCAGTTCCAGCCAGGTTGGTCCATGGCTGCCTCACCAGAATCCAGGATAGGTCATGGGTCTGACCCTGACAGGTCTCTATTCCTCTCTGTCTCTGCACCCCAGGCCCCTGCCTCCCCAGAACAGAGGAGAGACCACAGCTATGCCTGGTGAAGCAGCTTTCATAAGTATATCTGTTCCAAAAAGACATTGATGCAACCTCCAGGTTTCAGTGGAAGCTCTCCCCTCTATTAGTCATTCCTGCATGTTTTCTGCCAATTACAGCCAGATGAATCCCTTTTTATCCTGGAATAGATGAGCTATGAATGAACATAGCACACAGTAGGGAACAATTAAATGGTGTGACACACTTTTTCAGGAATGCAGAGCTACATTTCACCTCTGTGCCCCATTTTTGGGACTGAAGAGGCTCCAAACTGCAATTAATGATCACCTTAGTGGCACAGCCGATCTGAAGCCTGAAGAGCTACAGGTGGACATTTGCAGACACCTTGTGAGTGAGCTGTTGAACTGTAGGAGATTATTGACTGGAGTGGCTTGTGGTGGTGTAGAGGTGTGGGGGGGATGTGTGATGGATAATGTAAATAACTGTAAGAGTGGGATATATGACTGCGGGTGATGGTAAATGTAATTCTGCCACAGATTCCCATTTTTCCCACTTCTACCCAGCTACCTGTTCTTTCTCATTTACCTGTGGTTTGTAAAAGCATGTGCTGGCAGTCAAAGGGCACTTCTAGCCAGAGAGAGCTCATGTGTCCCTGACTTCCTCTAGGCCAAAGAGAATGCAGAGCTGCTGGAGAGCTTGTACAAAACCACCATCATGTACTTCTATAGCAGCTGGGAAGGGATCCGGGAAGTTGCAGCCAAGTTAGCTGGGGAGAGATGATGCCCAGTGTCCCTTTTGGTATTCCCATTGAGGGAGACAGAAAAAATCCCACTGTGCAGCACTGAGCTTCCATCAATCTCTCTGTGCCTCAGCTTCTCATATATCAATGGAGATGTTAATATCCCTACGTCTCCAGCATGGTGGTAGGAGGAATTCATTAGTTGCTATAAAGTGCTTTGGGATTGTTGCAGGGAAAGCATGGTGCAGTCATTTAGTAGTAGAGGCTGGGACATTGTCACATAGGGCATGTTTACACTTTGAGCTGGGGGTATAGGTCCCAGCTTGATGAGACATACCCACACTAGCCCTGTGTGCTAAAAATAGAATAGCCGCGATGGCAGGAGGGGCTAACCACCCCAAGTGTGATCCCATCCAAACCCCAAAGTCTGTTCTCAAGGTGGCTAGCGCCTCCCACTGCTCGTGCTGCCTTAGCTACATTCTATTTTTAGCATGCTAGCTCAGTCAGAGCTAGTGTGGGCATGTCCCATTGAGCTAGGGGTACCATTCCCAGCTCAAAGTGCAGACTTACCCACAGCATTGTTCAGTGCTCCTCACTGCTACTTCATCATTGGGAGGCATGCAGCCCAACCTCCCCATAGTGCCTGCTGTTTCAGGTTCCTGGCCACACCACCTTGTCAAGGAAACATTAGGTTCCTCCTCTTTGGCCCTGTGCCCTCTTCTCCCTAGCACACCCATGTGAGACAGGCAGGCATTGTGGCCTAAGTCATCTATCCGTCACCTTGTGAGATCCCTGCTTAGAACTCACTTATTCCTGGCCCCAGACCTTTGCTCAGACCACTAGACCAAGACACTACCCTAATATGTCTCCAATAACTGACAGCAGTGGCAAGAGGAACACAGATTGTTTAAAGCAAATGGGTTTTATGTAAACATTCTTTTTAAAAAATGTCTCTCTTATTCTCTTCGCTGTGGACTCTAAACTGCTTTAGCATCCTCTTGCCCACAGCTTACCCTTAGGCCCACAGTAGGAGAAGCCAAAGACCTGCCTAGGGGCTGCTAATATCACTGTGCACTCAACAAGGGAAGGGTTTATTATTATTGTTATTTATTTTACATTGTGTATTTAGGCATCATTCTGGAACACACAGACACCCAGCGTATGAAGTGGCTGAACCTGGAACATCTGCTGATGTGTAAATAATAAATACAGCTGAAGTCCTGTTCATTAGTGAGTTATAAAGGAATTTAGCTGACAAGCAGAAGTAACCGATACCACTGGTGCAAAGTGCATCAGCCACACATTAAAGGACAGATTCACTCTTGCCCAGGAGAAGTCAGGTTTAGTTTCCCCTGAAGCCGGAAACTGCAGCAGGTATGATATGAGTCAGTGCATCTCCTGGTTGTCCTGGCAATGCCCCTCCCCAGCCAGTGCTATCCACTCTTTGGGCTTCGTTGGCTCCCTGTGGACTCCCCAGGTGAGACGTTGTAGCCACTTTCTGCTACCCCAAATTTTCCACAAGCAATTTTTCTTCCATTAAGTGCCCTGTGTCAGACATAAACCAGCTTGGACCTGGCCTCTGTTTAATTCCAGGTTTATTTGAGCTCAGGCAGTGGCTCCTGAATAAAGATGGAAAATAACTTAAAAATGGAAGCTATTGAAACAACAGACCTTCTTCCACTTACAGCAAAGTGGATGAGTTTCTGGTAGAGTCAGGGTCTCCCTCCAGTTTGGAGCATGGAAAGGTCCCAATGGAGGAACCTAAAGCGTTCTTTGTATTGGAGAGCTTCTGTAGTGTGGTACTCAGAGGTAATAAGTCTCCAGCTATTTCAGGCACAGGTGACTATATGAAAAATGAGGCATATTCATCTCTCATGTATTTTCCATCCCAATATAAGGACTGAGCCCAGTTTCACATTTTTCCATGTGATTGTTCTGCTCAGGTACCTCAAGGTTCTGTACTTCTTAGCTGTGATTTGACAGTCTGTTCACTAGCATGTTGTCCTCTGTAATTTCAGCTCTCCAGGTCCTACAGAAAGACCCAAGTCCCACTGTCCAGCTGGTGGCAACTCAGGTCCTAAGTGACATCTGTCTGGCAGAATGCTTGGGGAATGAAGTGGAAAGGAGACATAGAGAACAAGGCGCTCCCAGTACCCAAAATCGGAACAAGAGAGGGACAGAGAGGCAACTATAATACTGGCCAATCTTAGCCGTTGTCATACTGCTCAGATGCTGTAAGTGAGAGAAGAATCAGGCCCTGTAAAGTAGCCTTGGTTGATTTTAACTACTCAAAGCATTTTTTATTAGACATCAGAACATCTGGTCATTCTGATGGACATGCAGTCTCTGGACAAGCTCAGTGATAAGCATGTACATTATACTGCTTGCTCAAGGGTCTTTACTATAGTAACAGACAACTACTGGGCCAGATCCTCAAATAAACCTGAGCTCTAGAGTCTGGGTTGTTCTAAATTATGTTGTCTTCTAAAAGCCATTGCTGCACTGGGGATTGCTGGAGCACAATGCACTCTGTCTGTGCCATCTTCTGTTTCCAGCTCACACCCCATATACTTGGGTGGGAAGCTAGGAGTTTTTCATAGATTCTAGGACTGGAAAGGACCTCGAGACGTCATCGAGTCCAGTCCCCTGCCCGCATGGCAGGACCAAATACTGTCTAGACCATCCCTGATAGACATTTATCTAATCTACTCTTAAATATCTCCAGAGATGGAGATTCCACAACCTCCCTAGGCAATTTATTCCAGTGTTT